CCTCCCATTAAAACTCTACGTCTACTTAACGAGCGATTAATCATTGCATTTAAATAAACCAATTAATTAAAATATTACTACCGACTAAAACGTAGTTAAATATTCCTGGCGTATATCATTTTATGCCGCCATAAAAAAACTAAAAATTACTCATACTTTTTTTTTTTTAATTTATTTATATTTTCAAGTCCTTTACCTTCTCATAGAAATATTATCGTTCTAATGAATCAACCTAACCTGTACTGCCATGTAAAGCGAGAAAATCTACCTACTTTTGGTCATTATGATGCTTCATCTCGTCAAGTCGGAGCTGGTGCCATGTACTAAGACCTCTTCCGACTCGCGGAAAGTAGGAGCACCTACATAAAAATAGAATTATTTTAGGGCTTAAATATTATGTTCCTATAATATTTCTTTATACCTGGAAATCGAATAATATTTATAACCCATAAGTGGATACTTCTATATCTTTAATATACATACCAATAAAATAAAATTATAGTGTTAAGTAACAATAATCTAGTGAAAAATTAATTAAATAATAGCATACCGACAAATATAATCGTAATTAATAATATGTTTATGTTAAGCAAAACCATTTTTGCAATAATTGTATATTTTATTTATATAAAACATATATATATTTTTTTTTGTACCTATGTCACGGATCAACAATATACACTTATACGATACGTTTATTTCGTAATAATAATGTATTTGTATAAATACACACTCACACACAAGCATACATATATATAGGATATAATATATGTACATAAAAAAAACAATTATATATTCAAGTAATCTAATACCAACGCATCGGTAAATGGAAAGATTTTGCTGACGCTGTTATTATAATGTCTGGTACATTGGAGTTCATTTAAAATGAACATTGCGATTTATAATTCCGTTAAAAAAATTTAGTATTATTATTCAAACATGGGAAATATTTACTTAAATCTCTTTAAGTTCCCTGGCCATATTAGCATGTTTAGAATGATAATCATAATTATAAATTGTACTAGTTGACCAGCTAATTTAACTCAAAATAATGAAGTCTAAACGATTAATTAAATATCGCTAAGTTGTTTAATCTAATATTGATTTAATTTAATATTATAAGGTAAATATTTGCTAATTACTGGCTTAATATGTTTATATTTGTTAACATCAATTTAATTATACATAGTATTAACAATAAGTAAATGACACAAAAAAAATTTAAAGTTAAAATACTCAAATTCTATAAAAAAAACAAATACAGTTAGTTTACAAAAAAATTTGAAATAGACATTCTTTTTCGATTTAAAATATTATGTAGGATTAGTTTTCGTACTTCGTTCTTATTTCAATCACAATAAAGCCAATCCAATACCATTGTGGTTGACCAGCGAGACATTTTTTTCCACCAATGGCTATACAATATAATTAATATATTATACACTGTTTTACTTAGCCACTCAACATTAGAACTCAATTCAGATAATGTTACCTCTATCGTCCAATCTTTATATATTAACCATTAAGATGAATTATCTATCAGAAATATAAACGATGAACCTGTCACCCAAATTTGCACAGTCATTTAATAAAGGTAGAAATATAAGGAAAGGATTTAGAAGCAGTAATAAATAGTTGAAATAGATTAGATGAAAAAATACAACTTTACTTATTCGGTAATTATTTATTTTTTTGATAGACCTGACATGATACAGAAATAGGCTTATAGCATTACGTACTTACTGTACAGAAAATGTATTATGTGAAATATATTATTGAAAAAATCCTAAGACGGTTGTTTATCCGTCAGCTTAAATATATGTATACTATTTTTAAATTTCTGATTTTATAGTGTATATAGTGATAATAATATGATAATCTATAATATATTATGTAAAGAACAGAATACAGGTGTCAGTGTTTTTCAGACATTTGGTTAGGATGTGGGTTGAGCTTGTGGACGTCCACGTTGTAAGTATACCTCGAGTTTATGGACTCGGTCATTTGAGCTTAAAACTGACCATGTAGCATCGATTTTCCTGATTTTCTTTTCGATACAATCACATGTTTCTAAGGTACATGTACGGCTAGTTGAGTCAATGTTAACTTGGCTTATGTATGTTTCTGGATATTGTGTACTCCAGTACATTCCAAGCAAACGACAATTGGGTAACGATATAACATCCTGCTCAGATCCTGATAAAAAATTTGAAACATTTCTTTTTTAATTTGCTAATATTAGCTTATTAGTTACTAATTATCCTTACAGTACAAAAAATAACAATTTTATTTGTTAATACGAAGTCGTAAAATATAATTCAATAAGCATGGTGTCGTATTGAACAGCCATGATATTTGTATTACATGAAAGTACGTGTAAGTAGTTATAATTTATTTAGTTAATTGTTAAAATCTAAAATAAGTTGTATCCTTGTCCTATTATATAATTTAAATATATAAAAATATATTAATAGAGTTCAAAAACCATACAACTCCATAATAATATTTACCTATTATACGACGTCTGATTATACTTTTTAAAGACCAAGCAACAAAGTCTCTTCTCATGTTTGCAAGGTTTTCCAATTTTTCCTCAACTATGACAATAATTATTAAAAGACCGTGTTGAGGAGACATAATTAATTTTTATTTTTTTTATTTTATTATTTCCCTCGGCGGCAAAGGCCATTGGGTTACGAGACATAATTAAGATAAATAATATAATGTTCACTAATTGTGATACAACTAACTTTTTGTACAACCACATATTATTGTTGAACCTCAACAAATGTACTCTTTCTACACTTCAAATCCCAAAGAATTTATTACTTATTAACACTGTAGTCTCACTTTCTCTCCCTCTTTCCTCAAAAAAAAAAGTTGAATTTATTATAATTGTTTTCTGACATAAAAAATTAAATAAACAAAATTAAGCAAAGATCAACTCTAAAACAAGCTTTAAAGGCTATTTATAAATATCAAACCAATCGTACATACCACCCAAATAATCTCCTGACATATTAATTCCTGTAACAAACACATCAAACATCAAATTATTATGCAGTTAATAAGTCCCGGTTAATATATTTTATACATAACATTCACTCTATAACTTAGGTTAATTAGATCAATATTAATCAATGCAAAATATTATCGATAAATGAAAATTTATATCATATAACGATTTAAATTTTATTTCGAATGATTCTTAAAATGTTAAACATGAAACATACATAGTTCTTTTTTTAATTTAAAAATACATTCTTTTTTATATTTACCTAATTTTTTCTCTAGGTCTTGAAGCATTTTTTCGAGTAAATCATTGGCTTCTAAAATTTAAAACAAAATACATTTTAATGTACCAACATATATTTTATTATTGAAACCGATATATCATATTGGTATTTGTCAATAGGTACATATTGTTATTCTCAAAGTAATTATAAATAATAAATATGCAATAAGTATAATAAATATAATATATAAAAAAAGGTTTTTATTTTGCATTAGGTGAACTGGAGGTTCTGAAATTAATACAAAAATCTTGTGTGCATAAAGAATATCAAATAACTGTTAGGAAACGCTTCCATAGAGTACAATGAAATGTATTACCTGTCCTTTCCAAGAGAATGTTCTTTTTG